ACCACAGTGGACAACAGACTGTCATACCATTTTACGTGTGAGGTTAAACAGCCAATTCTTTCGGTTACAAGGCTGGTGGAACAAGGTTTCCAACTTGCACTGGATGACAATCCAAGACTACAGCACACCAAAGGATTCAGCAGCACATTGGAGAACAGAGATGGCCTGTTCTTCCAACAAGCAGAAATCACAACACTGCCAAGAGGAACAAAGCTACAGACACACAGCGCGCAGCAAGGACAGATTGGCAAGATAGCGCCCACCACAACGCTTACACCACAAGGTCCTGCAGACACTGTTCTGCAGGAGACTACTGGCAGTTCAACACACAAGGTAAACTTGTCAGAGCACACAGACAATACAGGAAGACACTCTTCACACCATCAAGAACACAGTGTCCAGTCCCAGCAGAACAACTTGAGGACTACAGAAGAATCAGATCCAAGGATGGCGCAACGAACACGTTTGAGGACAAGTACCAAATAACAGATGCTCCAAACAACAGCAAATGTGGAAAGGAGAAACAGCATTCAGGATCAAGAAAAGCACAACATTGCCAGAAACACTACAGCAACAGTTTGCAACAAAGGCACAGCCAAGGAGCGAGCTACAGAAGGTCACACCACAAGAAATTCAGTACAATCCACGCACACGACTGAGAGAGAAAACAACACCACCAACAGCACAGGACACAGCAGCACCACACACCACCAAAGGCGCAGCTGAACAAGGACTACCACATCCTGCAGAAGTACATCATGGAGGAGACTGCTGGCACAGAGAAGGCCCACACTGGAAGAGAGTACACATCAAGCCACACACACAGAGCGTTTTACACACCAGAGCAGACACATGACGGGCCAGACATCAAGCGACTTACACCTGGAGGCAGACCAAGGTACAACCAGTAGGAGATCACAACTTGAGTCAGATGATGAGGAGCAACAGCAAGGCACAAGAGCAAAAGCAGTACAAGCACCCAAGCAACCAACACCACAGGAAATACTCGAGCACAACGTGACACACCTCTCCCCTACAGAAGTTGGTGTCCAACATGCGTACAAGCAAGAGGCAGACAGAACAATTGCCCAAAGCAACACAGCAAGCTTCCAATTACACAGCTTGGCTTTGGCTACAGCAAGGGCTTTGATGACAGCAACAATCCTCACAGCAATTGACATCCAAGCAGGGATGATCATGGCCACACAACTGACCGACTTTGCTCACACAGCTACAGCACTTCCTCATTGAATGTGGAAGAACATCACACACCATACTACAACCAGATCAGGAGACTTCCTGACAGCACTGATCACAGCAGTGGCAAACAAGAATGGCAACATCACCACAAGGAACTCAGGAGCATACAGTTCACAATCACAAGGAGGAGTAGAGCGAGCGCACAGAACACTGTTTGCGCAAATCAGAACACTCAAGGTACAAACCAGGCAGAACTGCAACAGAGACATTCCAATGGAACATCCACTCATGCCTTGGATAGTTCGACACAGCGCATACATCATGAACAGATTTGCGATCCACAGCAATGGATGCACAAGCTACTGCAACAAATAGAACCGAGAGCAACATGCACCACTTCGCGAGTTTGGTGAGACAGTGCAGTACATGCTACCAACAGTGACACATTTCCAAAAACCCGAGCCGAGGTTCTACAACGGGATCTGGCTTGGCAAGGATACAACTACAGGCGAGTCCCTCATTGGAACCTACAACAAGATTGTCAGAGCAAGGACAATCAGAGGGCAGATAGTGCCTCACAAATACAATCAGCAACTACTGGACTGTGTACACACAGGTCCATGGAAGACACCAGCATTAGCACTGCCTACACCTACTCTCACAACACCAGTTACAATGCCAGCAGCAAGCAAAGCACTCACATCTCAGAAGGATGCAGCAACAAGCGCAGCAGCAGAAGGCAAGAGACAGAGCGCATCAAAATCGAGTGATCAGCACACAAAGCATAAGAACAGCCAACATCACCAATGGCTACATCACCAACACATTAGAGACCAGCATTGCCAGCACCACCGCCTACATCACACACAGGAGAAAGAGATGACACAATAGCAGAAGGCAGCACAGACAAGCAACAGCGCATCGCAGCAGACAGACAGGCGCTGGAGCGGCTACAACAACAGAACAACCAAAAAGCCAAAAATGAGGATGAGTGCCATCAAGTTTACAACCAAAATGGAAACAACATCCAGAGAGGACACAGAAGAAATCGACAACGAAAGGATCCTACTAGAGCCGACCACACATGACACAGAAGGCTTGGACCCGCAACACGTTTCACAAGGCGTGAAGAAAGAAGTACAACAAATGAAAGACCAATCAGTCTTTACAGAGATTGATGGCAACACACTGACACCAGAACAACGAGCACACATCATTAAACCAAGATGGGTTCTTAAACCAAAACACAACGAAGCACGAGCGCGAACAGTAGCAAAGGGCTACACAGAACCTGTTACAGACCATGACATACTCTTTGCAAGCACACCACTGTTTTGTACCCTCAGTGTAGTACAATGGCACTTGTGTACAACTGGTCAGTCTGCACCGGAGATGTCAGGGTTGCATTCCTACATGCAGCAGCAATCTCCTACAACTTGGAAATCAGACAACCAAAAGAATCCTACAACGAAGCAAACAGACACATAATGTGGCGGCTGCAAAGCTATCTACGGCTTAAGATCATCACCGAAATAATGGCAAGTCCACAAAGCACACATCCTCACAGTTACACTTGAACTTGTGAGATGCACAACAGAAAGCAATGTCTACAGGTCAAAGGACTGCCAGGTCTACATCATGATCTGTGTAGACGACCTCCTACTCATAGGAGTACAGAGCATCATTGACACACTGTTCAGCAGAATACAAGAAGCACTGCTGAGACACACAAGCAACCTCAATGTAGGCACAACAACACATTGCCTTGGCAGGAGCATTTCACGCAAAGGCAACTACATCGACACAAGCTTGAACAACAACTACGTTGACATCCTCCTGGAAGAATCAGGAATGACTACATGCGACCCAGCACCATCACCAGGAGTGTCACACATGAGAGGTACAGCAGAAGATGGAGCACCACTCGACCACGAACAGCAGCACAAGCAATACAGGCGGCTTGTTGGCAAGATATAACGGCCAGCATACACACGACCAGACAGCAGCTATGGAGCAAAAGAGCTAGCAAGATCACTACAAGCACCAACACGACTTGACAACAAGAAGCTCAAGCGCATGATAAGGTACCTTAAAGTCACAAGGTGCTTGCGACACAACCTGCAACCAAAGATACAGACACAGGACAAGCGAATCCCACTCAACATCGATACACACATAGATGCCATCTGGGCATCATGCGCGACAACAAGAAAGAGCGCAACAGGATTTGTGATACACTTGCTCGGAGCAGCGACACACTTATGGAAGCATAGCACAAGCAACAGTGGCACTTTCATCAGCAGAGTCAGGGCTGGTACAGCAGCACAGGAGGGCCTCTACATCAGCAACTTCATCAAGGAAGCATTTGGAGTATGCACCAACATCAGGATACACGCAGACAGCAGCGCAGCTAAATCAATCACGATGCGAGAAGGTACATCAAAGAAAGCCAACCACATTCAGCTGCGACACTCTCAACAAGCACATGCACACAGTTGGCCTGTGAGGCCATCGCAACCGTTTCACACCAGTAAGTACAGTAGTCAGCACAGCTTGTTAAACAACAGTTGCACAGGTCACCTTTCCTTCTCTACAACGAAAGTGAAAGCGCTACAACTTAGTTTCACTTAGGATATCCGGAGCCATGGTACATCTTTTCTGGGAGTTCTACAACCCCCTTACAATGGTTTTTCTGCAAGACACATGTCAAACATGGATTTGCACCTTTTTACCTTTTACATCAGTGAGGTACATTCTTCCTGATACATCGGACCAATGGACAGTCATAATGGACATGCAGGCCTTGACAGCGCGTGCTACATCAGATGAGCACACCGGAAGGCGATACGGCGCGCACTTGTTTACGTCGCTGACATTTGTGGGATTTCACAACATCAATTGCGTCAACGGCAAGGAGGCGCACAACATCATGGAGTGGCACATCGAGAAGACCACAGGCACAAACCGTGTTCTGTACATCGCTTTTACTGCAAAAGAATACAACAGTTTGAATGGTGATTACACTGGGCTGCAGGCCAACATAAGGAGGCCATTTTGCGAGCACATGATCTACAACACCAGTCCATTTGATGCTCTCACAACTTTGACCTACCTCTTCAGAGCACAAGACTTGCCAACACAATGTCCTCGACATCTTCATGGACCAACGGTTTGGCTTGGGATTACAACGCCATGGTCAGCTTGAGCCACCTACAGACTGCAGCATGTGATTGAGTACTCGGGTCTACAGATCCTCAAGTACATCAGCCAGGTGAACACGTCGTGCGAGGAACTCATCGCAGCAGCAGCCAACATGGACGAGGTTACAGCAGTGTCTGGAAAGAGGCCAAGAAATGGTTCACACAACTACGATTTTTGGCGGTACACATGAGTGGCACAGTCGGCCAGCTGGATACAACATTTGCTTGAAACAGCAGCTGTTTTACGTTTTTGACACCACGACCCACAAGGAAGTTGCACAGCTTGGTACACATCTGTTGTACAGTGGCAACATCCATTTTCAACATTTCAGAAGAATGTATATAACATTATCCTGAGGAGGCGTGTTAAATACTACATGCTTTCTCGAGCAGTACAGTTGGGCTACATCCGCTGCCCATACATCCCAAGGCCTTGCCTGCGTTGGTGCGATGTAGCCCATTTTCCAGTTATAGATATTTATATATACACACATATATATATATACATATTTGTGTTAAACTTGGAGCAACTGTATACCTACTTACCTGATGCCACTTGCTGCAAGCGAGACTTGCGTCCCTCACTAGACACGCCCTCGCCTTGCCGAACCTGCTTGCCGCAGCAACAGCCAGGTCCTGAACCAAAGGTCAACAAATGCAAGCATCGAGCCAACCAATTGAATTAGGAATAGTACATCATTGGCGGCAACAAACGAGAAAAGGCAGGATCTCTCCTTGATCAGGTTGTGGTTTGTGTCCATGATCACGATCCGCTTGGGCTTGTTTGCGCCGGAGAGGTCCCAAGAAGAAATGGCATAAAGGATGGAGTCGATCAAGGCGCAACAATCAGCCCGCCACCCAAAAATCCCGGCTCCAAGAATTGGCAGAACGACACTGTCGAGGCCTGCCTGACCTACCTCGGTCAAAACAGCGCGAACTGTAGCTTCCATGTCCCTTCCCGCCTTCTGGGTAGGTTCGTACACGGGTGGAACAGCATGGAAGATCTTATCAAAGCCTGCCTCCCTCAAGCCGTGCGCATCCGTCACGGCGACTTCGCCAACTTCAACCCGGTGGTGCTTGGACAGGATTTGCTCGCATTCGTTCACCAAGGAAACGCCACCTCTTCTTTTGATGGCCCCTGCAATGCCTGCCACGTCCGGCAGAAGAAGCTGACCGTTGGCGGAGTTCACCAGTGCTTTCACACCCAACTCGTTGGAGAGAATGTCACCAAACCTGCCACCATGCGATCTGTGCAGGCGAATGGCGAGGGTAGCAAATACCAGAGTTTGGGTTGGGACAACTCACCCTGCTCACCTCAAATGCCACAACTTTCAAGCCTGAACTCCACATCGCAGCCGCCGAAAAGGCGGTAGTGACAGATAAGCTCGCGGCAGGTCTGGCAAAGAGGGTCAACTGGTGTCAAGGCCAAAAACACACCAAGGCTCAAGACAGTGCCATTTCGCCCCCACCTCCATGTCCGGGAAATCTGTCTGATTGCGCAGTCCTTTGCAACAGGCTTCATGCTGCCGTCGCAAGTCAGGGCCAATCATACCCAGCAACCGAGCACATCGAACTGGGTTTATGTTTATGATTCCTTATAATTACATGCTCCTGTCCACCCCCATGCTCAAGTCCATTCTCCCACCGGTACGCTCTGATTGCATGTTGATGCCTCTGCCATCAAATATCACATTAAATACTTGATTAAGTCGAAGCCGGGTTGCTTGGCTGGAGCGTGTGCTGCGGGATCCACAATTTGAGCCACATAAATAATGGCAGCGTGATAACGGCTTGACTTGCAGCTGAAAGGGCAATTTTCAACAACTGGAATCATGACGACAACAAGCAACCAGCAACACGGACGTAAGCAAACACAGGGAAAGGGAAATGGCCGAACCGCCTGGCCAATGCTTCGACTGCCTGCTTGCCGACGTCCTGCTGTCTCTGAGTGCGTCGTTTCACCCTGCCAGCTCATCCAGCCCGCACATTGAGTCTTGCTACCGCGATGGCAGTGCTGCAGGCGAATTTGTTTTGCTCTCGCGGCTCGGTCTTGCCATAGTCTTGTCGAGTCACAGAGGCAAGAAACGGCTCGCTGTGTGCCGAATGCCCTGTGGGCATCGAGAGGGGCCCACTGCGGAATGCTTGGAAAAGCAGCCCGCCAAAAGGCAGCCAAGTATCGTTCGACGCACTCAGGCAGAGCGGGCTAACGGGTCTCAGGTTGGCAGCACCTGGCTTCTAAGGCCAGATGGACCCAACAGTTTACTCACCTTTCGCTCCAACAGAGTTGCTCAGCAACCACAGCCCCAATCACAGGCACTTCCAACACCGGTTCTACTCAGTAGCTCGGGCCTTTCTTCCATGGACAAGAGCCGCTCACGACCTGTTGGTTTCTCACCTCTGCTTCCCTTGGCCATCCAACAACTTTGCAAGAACACATATACTATAAACAAATGCAGTTCTGTACATGAGGCTCCCTCTTGTCAGAAGCGGCCCCAGTCCTTGGCGACGCCTTCAATGTTTGCAAGTGTTCGGACAAAATCATTACATTCAAGGGTCTCTGAGTTCAAACACGCTTCCTAGACTGACATCTGCCAGGGTAGGATTTCACGCGATTACCTTGCCATGCGAGGTTGTGTCAAAACCCGCTGTATAATTTGATTGCGCGATTGGGGTTATCGTTGTTTAACTCTCTATCGTTTCACAGCGTTTCCTGTTCAAGTAGCAAACCAAAGCAGCATGCTGCACTTTTGGCCGGCACTGCGTCGCAAGTTGCCTGCTCCACATCACAGCGCAAACTGCATTTGCTAAGAGAGACGGGAGGAATGCAAGGAAGGGCGCGCATCGGCACTTTCCAACCTAGTAAAACACCGCGCGCACTTTTCTTTGCAATGCTTGGCATCAATAGCACTCCCAATAGCAATGTTTACAACAGGCAAGAAGGGATGGGGGTGTTTGATGCGCAGCAGTTGTCCATCTGTTTATTGCATCACACATGATGCACTAACCGCTGACTTCATTTTGCTATCCCATCCTCGGCGCATCGAGCAAACGTTTCATGCCCTGTTCAAGAGGGCAGGACCAGGCAACATGGACCAACTAATCTTGAACGCCAAGCTTCAGATCTGCCGCCCCCGCTGCGAAGCAAACACCTAGCAAGCCCAAGCAGCGAGATTCAAAGGTAAGAGCAGCTGACGTCGTGCAGGCAATGCATCATTATTTCACACTTACGAGATGTCCTGCTGGCTAAAACGCCATTAGACGGCTACAAATGGAGTCTCAATCACTTGATGACCATCCCTATTGCAGGTACAATCTTGACTGCTTGCGGATTCGCGTTTTCCAAAGGGCTTGATAAACTCACACATCCTTGGCCCAGGCCTCAGCTGGCTGTCCCCCATACGGAAAGAAGGCATAGAGGCGCCTGCATACATCCAGCAGCCAAGGCGGGGAGTCCGTGCAGGTAGACCAGAACCTGCCGCAGTTCGCTCTATTTCTTTTGACCACATCCGGATTGGGAAAGCGAAGTGGCAAAGCCGCTAAGCCTTGTTGCCAAGCAGCTTGACGAACCAATGCACGCGGCCATGATCAATACTCGGAAGAACATGCGCGTCAGCCGGCTGAACACCTCGAGCCTGAGGGGTACATTTCTGGCATGAGCCGAGTGCTCAAGCGGCTCACGCGACCTCCCCTCAATCTGTCACACAATGAAATCCCGACAAGAAAGGGCCAAGCTCCCACACCTCCAGAAGGCCGCAGATCTTCTCCAGGCACTCACGCCAATCGCTCGCCGACGCGCTTGTGCAGAGGTGCACGGCATTCTGCCTCGTGATGCGGGTCCCATCGAAGTCCCCCGCCCCTGCTCTCTCTCTCGGGAAAATGTACCACGCCCAGCAGGAGCTCTTGCTACCCGCATCCAGCTCCCTGAGGATCCGCTTCATGTGCGCCTTCTGGCACCGAATCAGCGCCCAAAGTGCTCTCCTCAGCCAAGCAGCGCTGAGGCAAGAGCAGAAACTACTCATTGGGCCAAGCTTCTCAGCAGCCAAACTTCCACTAGGTGGGCCAAGGCTGCCCCTTGCCCAGCGAGGACTCGCATCCCACATTGGCAACATGGCGCGCTGGTGCACGCCCGGAACCGGCGCCAAAATACTGTCGAGCAGTCGATAGTCCATGGTTTCAGACTCCTGCAGCTTGCAATTTGAATGCAAAACATTAACGGCATTCGGTGAATATTGCAAGCCAAACAGGGTTGTTTCTCTTGCCAAACAATTCTGAGGGCCCAAGCCTATTATTTATGGACATCCGATTTAAAGCGCAGGAACGAAGGCTTGGTAACTTCTCTGGTCGAGTGCGATGGCGCAGGAGGGGATTGGCTTTTCAAGCCATCCCCTGCGGTCGCAAATCATGGGCCCTGTCCCTGTCCAGTGCCCAAGCTGAGGGGAACACTTGAACACATTAGTTGTTTTTCCCCCGCGTTCTTGGAACGACTCACAAACAAGTGCACACTTATAATTTGAGTAAACAACGCAGCGAGAACCAGCAAACACCTACCCTTACCCTAAGAATCTCGTTGACGACATGCGATCAACCATAGCGCAATCTAACACAATGGGCTGACCCACACCTGACAACCAGAACCAGTATGCTACTAAAGCCGTCCTTCAAACAAGCCATATTCGAATTCTGCTGCTAAGAACATGAATAGTGTTAAACATATTGTTAAACTGTGTGTGCGCGTGTGTGTGTGTGTATGTTTGCTAATTCAGTACTTATTGATGACAAGTTCAAATCGACTGCAAGTCAGGGCATGCCTGGTGTAGAGATCAATCAAGCCTGTGTGCTACTGGAATGTGCAATTCCCTTTGGAGCAAATATCATGCACAAAGAGCACTGATGTGAAGCAACGTCACGGCTTGACGGCTTTACAGCTTTACGCTATTGCCTGCGTGGCATGCTAGTCAATCACTTCCGGTACCACATCTGTGAATCTCAGCGTAAATCGTTCACTCTGGGTGCGTAAATCGAGTCATGTGCGCAAGCGCCATCATTTCCCAGGAATGGATGCTGAACAGGAACCCACACTGGCCTGTTGGACAAGTCAGCTGGATGACAAGTAAAACACAGACTGTAAGTTCCAAGTGACACTTCCGGGCAAGCACATCTGGGGGTTGTCCTATATTCCTTTGCCCGGGACTGGGCCCTTGGGCCGCACTTGCGCGGCACTTGCGCGGACTTGCGCGCGCACAGTGGCGCAGAAACTCGTTTTCGTTAACCTCGGTTTGCGAAGTTTTCGTGTGGATTGCGCGCAAGCTTTTCTAAGCAGTGTGTTCGTCGTTCACACAGCAACCCACAAAGACTCTTCCCGCTGAGGTCGGTCCCGGTAATTCTAGGCCAGCAACATACCCGTGACCCAACAGAAAGGACAGCGGGCTCTGCCACACAGCTTGGACACAGCCTGAAAGAAGAGAAAGTGCATGTTGCGGCTGCCTATCCATTGCTTGAACCGCGCCGCTAAGGACATCCGGGACAGCATGGCTAGATGTCTTGCTGGGGCTTCTCGCGCTTGCGCGCAATGCGCGGATTGTGTCGTTTCAGCTGCCAGCTGCTGATTGTTGAAGTCATGACCGCAGAAGCTTTGGCTTCGTTTGGCGTCTGACTGAAGAAATGCCGCACCTTTGCAAACAAGCTTGTGACCTACACATGACCCGAGCAACAATCGAAAAACATAAGTACAGCAAGCAGATATCGCCTCCTTTCATGAAGCTAGGCAACATCAGTACATGAAAACCTTCAAAACTGTAACTCTTGCGTGTCCCTTGGGCCGCACTTGCGCACTCCTTGCGCGCGCACAGATTTTGACAATTTTTACTTCTCCCCGTTCGGCGATAATTAAAACCGAAGACTGGGGCTTTAGGACGGCCCTCATCTGACATCTGCTCTACCAGCAATGAGCTTGCCAATGCTCATCACCCTCGGCTTGCTTCTGGTAGCATCTGATGTTGGTTCGGAATTCACACTTTTGGGTGACACTGGTGCAGTTTCTATGGAGGAACACAACCTGTCACAACCTAAAACTGTCACAACCTAAAAATGGCCGGGATGCCATTGCCGCTTTTCTTTGCGCGCGCTGGCTGGTCTTGCCAGTGTCTCGCCAACTCCATGCACGCAGTAGAAGAAATGCCACACGCGTCTCTGCTGGCTCACAAGATGGTATGCAACTCCACCATGCAAAGCAATCAGTTGGAAGGCCATCAGTTGGAAGCAATCAGTTGAAATCTGAAACAGCATGCTGCAATAGACTGCGCGATCAGCCTCAAGTGCTCCCGGTCCTAGCCGCATAACAGGCTCCCAGTCACTCAGTTTCCCTTTTCCTGCGCTGCAGGGACAGGTTTGTTGCCAGAAGCGCAAAGCCATGCTTCCGGCAACATGAGTGGCTTGGAAGCAACAGGTCTCGTCCCAGAAATTCGCCTCTGTTCACCCTGACGCCCCGTCAAACAACTTCCCACCAAGCCGGGGGCAAGTTCCTGCTCAAGCAAAAATGAAAAGCCCTCCCCAACCTGCCACCTGCCAAGCCCACGGATGGGAGTACTTTTCCTAGCAACAAGCTGAGCCGCGTCTTCGACCTTCCTGGTCCTTCCCCTATCTATCATCTTGTAGGCCCTTTCCAGGTCCCCCTGAACTGCCTTCGGCGGGCTACAGCAGCAATTCAACTAGGCGTGTTTGAACTAATTCTGTGTTGTATCCCTTCAGAGACATGCATTTCTGTGAGCAATCAGCACAAGCATCCTTTCATGGACGAAGATGCAAGCCCTCGTATGGGTCTGCTGTAGACCTTGTGCCATGTCGATCCAACAATAGAAAATATCGCAAGACATGATAGGGGCCTACTATATAATATAGCGATACCCATAAACTCGGCAGGAACCGATGGGGCCTACCGTCAACCAATACCCTGATCATTTTGTCCGTTGCTCGTATCTTCTATGTAGGACAATGTGGACGAACACATATTCTGTCTATTGTATCATCAACAGACTCGCGCCGCACATGATGCCACGGAGCACAACATATATGAGGCCCCAATTCAAACGAGGATGGCCATTACCGCTGTGCGCACAAACGCAAGGACCAGGCCTGAACCCTCCTGGCGCGGATTCTTCAGAGTTGCTGCACGCACCTGAAAGCGCATGGCCAGACAGTGTAAGAATGGGCACATGCTCAGTGGGAACATGGAAGGCAGCAATGGCCTTGTCACCACATTCCCATTTGTACATCAACTGTATCTAGTTCATCGAAGGACAAAGGGAAACATGATAACATGGACTAGTAATAGAAGCGCCGAGAATCATGCCGCACGCAAAGCGGGCAACCCGGGGAGCTGTGGTGAGACATGCGTCGTCAACCTGTTTGATTTACCATCCACAAAATTGAGCCCAGATGCCTAGCGAAGAGAGCTCCTCAGAGTCCTCGTGGCCATCGAAACAAGCCTTGGCCACGCCTCACTGAGGAATGCGCCGGTGTTGAAGTCCACGTGTTGCCTGATCGTTGAGCTTACGCTGTCTCTTATGAGTTATGCTGCCCGTGACACCAGCACATTCAGCTGCCACATGTGAGCAAACCTAGCTTAATCTACCAAGTGGCATCAGCCAAGGTAGCCACCTGTCCTCTCTGCGCAGCTCCGCACGCAAAATCATTAGCTGAAGGCCCAGCCAGTTCTTTCCAGAGCCATCATTGTTGTTCGACCAAATGGTGTCGCCTCAAATGACTGAGCTGAGTGCTTTCCACGCTGGGCGAGTTAAGGGTTTTGCGATTCGGCACTGGGTTGTGCTCCAGCAGGACTGCGTCTCCAGTGGCCATCAGGCCTTTGCGCAGCTCGCCGTCCTTCGAAGTCTGGAGCGAACTCCAAACGGCCCAGACACAAGTGGAACTTTTCTCCTCGAACTTCTGGAACAGCACATGGCGCATAGCTGCCCAGTTGCCTCTGCGGGCCAGGGGCTTTCGTTTTCCCTTAGGGGTTCTTCTGCGAATGGCCCAGAGCCAAGGCGTGGCACTTCGGCGCAACTGCATGACCCTATTCACAAACAGACCTTTCACATAAAAAACAACCATGTTAGAAGTGCCAGCAATAAAATTTAAGAAAGGCTGCCCCAATCAGTCAACTCCCTGAGAAAATGATGATCGACCTTCTCACAGCGTGACATATTTGAGTAACACTTGTGCACCCTAGTCACCTAACAAGCTGATGATGTCGCATGCGGTACCGGAAGCCAGCCCCAAACCAGGATGATGCTGATGATGCAAGCCTCAAACCATCAAAGGCCACTAAACCTACCCTTGATGATGCTGATGATGTTTGGCCAAGGCCCGTGTTTAGCGGTATTTACAGTGTTTTGTGCAGGCACAAAGCCCGTGCCAAAAGCATGGCCCAAGTCGTGATGATGCAAATGTGCGCTCAAAACCAAAGGCAACAAATGCTGGTGATGCAGAGTGATGCTCGGGACGGGGGGGGTGCATTGGTGTAGCCTTTGGCAAGGCAAGGGGGTGTGATCTACCTAGGTTGACGACAAAAGAAAAGGCTCGTCTTTGTCCATTTCATTTAAGGCTCGTCTTGTCCATTTAAGTCTATCTCAGGCTTTCAACGCCCTTCATCTTGTCAAAGGCATTGGGAATCCTATGTATCGGTGGGCTGCTTACTATCAGGGACAAAAACGGCCTCAAACCAATATTTGGCCCGAAGACTTGCTTTGCAGCACAGCCGCTGCCATGCCCAGCATAGTTGTCTTCCCTGCCCTTCAGCTGCTGCTTCTTTCTGAAGGCATCATGGCCCGAGAGGTACCGAAACTCCTGCCTGCGATCCCAGAACTTCCTTGCGCCAGGGGCTAGCCGAGTGATGGCATGCCACTTGGCCCACAGCATTGGCCAAATTTAAACAGTGACAATGCCTCGTTTTGTTTTGCTTCTGGCCACGCTGGTTTTAGGGGCATGTGAAAAAATACAAAGGCATGGCCCCTGAGAGGTCCAGGACAGAAAAACTGGCAAGTCCGGCAAGTCTGGCAAGTCTGCCAAGTTCAGTCATGGCTCAGGGACTGAAAGGCCGCCTCGGCATTCAGAAAGCTTGCGAACGTCCCATTCGACGAGCTGATCTGCAGGCTCCTGCGGTTCCACGCAATCCAAAAAAGAAACAGCATCTACTCCTAGCAATTCATCTTTGTGCGGATCAAGAAGTCTTTGTGCGGATCAAGCACAGGCTGCGTGCAGCATCCAGTACAAGTGGGTGAAATCCCCATCCCTGCGCACAAATGCTGCCACTCACAGCTCCTCTGGAAGAAGTTCGCCAAAAATGTGGCCTGCGAAGCAACAAGGAGAGCAGGGGAACCCAAAAGCCAAGCGCACAAGCCATGTCCGCCGACTTCCAAAAGGGTCCAAATGCTTGTTCTGGCATTTTTCTCCGCTTTACTGAGGATTTGTTTAGGGGTGGTTTGGCCTGGATTTCGGGTGGTTTTAGGTTGCTTTCCGGGTCAGTTTCGGGTTGGGGGCTGGGTTTAGAGTTTAGGGTTGGATTTGGCTTGTTGGGATTGGTTTGGGGTTGGGGTGGGTTTAGGGTGGGTCTAGGGTGGGTTTAGGGTGGGTTTCGGGTGGGTGTAATTTAATGTAGTTTTAGGGTGGGCTTTGGGGTTGGCGTAGGGTGGGTTTTGAGGTGCTCAGGTTTGGTTTAGGGTAGGATGAGTTAGCTTGTTTTTCGAGACACTTGTGCTGGGGTAACGTGCGCATTCCGTTCTCAGCATGGTGGTTCGAGCGCGCTGGGCCACTACTACCCTTGCACCCACTAGTTGTGCCTATTCACTGGAAAACCCTAGCGCTATATTGCAGCTGTGTGAAGCTACATGCACACACACGCATATATTACATGCATATTTTGCACATGTATGTGTCAACACTTTAAATATGTGGGGTGCTACCAGCAGCCGCCCCAACAGCTTTTGGAAGGTGCTGGTATCCTCCCGCCAAACTTTTTTCATGGGCTGGTGAAGGGCCTATCCATGGGCTTAGAGCACCTGCCTTGTTGATGCTTTGCCCTGAAGCCCACAACAATTTGCACATCGGTAGTGCCAATTGAGGACCAAGTGACTGGTTAGTGTTGATGATGCTTTTCTTGTTGATACAGTGTAGGATTGGTTTACGATTGCTTTGGATTTATGTTGGATTAGGGTTTAGGGTGTGTTTACTTAAAGTGGGGGTGGGTTGGGTTTAGGGTAGGCTTGGGCCAGCTTAAGGTGTTTCACGATTTTCTTAGGATTAGTTTAGGGTGGGTGTTAGGTTGGCTTGAGGTGACTTGGGGTCGGTTTTGGGGTGGGGTTTTAGGGCGGGTTTAGGTTGCCTTCGGAGTAGATTTGGGGTTGGTTTACGGTTGGTCTACGCTTGGGGTGAGGTTGGTTTGGAGCTGTTTTAGAAACGGTTTGCTGTTTAGGGTTGGTTTAAAGTCGTTAAGGATAGGTCTGGGGTTGGTTTAGGGTAGTTGTACTGTAGGCAGTGTCCAGCGTGTTTCGGGTTGATTTCGGGTCGTGGTTTCAGGTTTGGCTGAGAGCCAGGGTTAGCTTAGGGTTGGTGTAGGGTGGGTTCGGGCTTGATTTGTTGGTTTAGGCTGTATGAGGTTTGCGCGAGCTGTGTTAGAACTGTTTTGTGTATGACTAGGCTTGGTTTTAAATTGCAGAGTGGGTATAAAAGGGTCTGTGTTGGGCTTATGATTTAGGATTGGCTTGGGGATGGTTTTGCGATGGTTCCGGTTTCGATCAGGGGGTGTTGAGGGTTAAGACTTGGAGTAGAGCTCTACCAGATACGCTCTCAGGATTGGTTTAGACATGATTAGGGTGGTTGAAGGATTGTTATGTCGGTTTAAGGTTTGAGCTTGAGGAATTCCCCTATCCCCGGCAGAGATAATTTTTGGTTCAAGGTTGATTTAAGGTTGGCATTGGGCCGGGTATGGGATTGGGTTGAGGCTAGTCTAAGAATAGTTTGGTTCCGAGGCTTGTTTAGAGATGGCTCAGGATATGGCCAGAGTCAGAGTTTCCTTGGGGTTCGTTGATCATCAGTCATTTCGGCCAGCTAAGAACTGCCTTTGGGCTGGTTGGGTTAAGGGTGGGTTCCGGGTTGCTTATGGCTTGGTGTGACAGCTTGTTTGGCGTTGGTTTGGGATTGGTTTAAGGCCTGCTCAAAAGCTGACTGCCTTGCAGTTTGCATGCTTTACATTGCCTCCAGCTTGCGCAACTCACCAAGCAACACCCTCATGCTAGACTTTGTTGCTACGAGTACTAGGTCAGCTACTTACCTGGGTGAGGGCTACGCACCGCGCGATGGATTCTGCATCAACCTACCAAATTCAAGCCTGTCAGCCACGGCAGTGCATCTACTCCGCTGTGTTCCCCCGAGCTATTGCCTGGCAGCGTACATCTGCTGCAGTGGAGTAGCCAGGGAAGTAGAAGGCAACAATCCCTGCATCCTCCACCGGTCCTCCACAGGGCGCTTTCTCTGTCCTTGATCAACACTATCAACATGACAGCAGTGTTGTGCGCAGCATGGGTGTGCCATGGGTTCTTTCAACCACAGCTCAGCCGCTACGGAGCCAGAGAATACGTCTGGAATTCCCAAAAGGCTAGACTGATGCCCTTAACTTGGCTAACCAGCCAGGGGGGGTGAAATTATTCGGGAGTTGTTGGTGGGAAGCTTGTGGGCGGGCAAGCGTCATGCCCATGCGGTTAAGGGTGCTGTTGGGGCGCTGGCAATAATGAGCAAAGTCTGACAAGTCCTGTTAGTATGCTGGCACGCGTGATACGTTTGGCAGGCACACTAGCATGCACCAAATACAAAGCGCTGCAGCTTTCCCAGGCAAGGCCAATCGAGCAGCTTACGAACACTGGTCCCCTGGCACGAACAACATTATACAGAATACCAGGGGCCGCCGCACGCTTGAAATAAATCGCGGACGAGAAAGCTGTACCTTGAAAGAGAAACACCGATGTGGACTCTGCCGTTGTTTCTGAAGCCCAAGTCCAAGCATGCTGCATCTTCCTACAAGACAATGCAAGAAGGCACATACATATGTGCCCAGAAGGCATTCCGAAATTCCTGTCTGATGCGCCACGTCCTTGGTCAAAGGAGATGAGCTGCGGCAGTGGCAAGAAGTGTCCTCCGCAAACCCCCATGCACAACAATGAAGCACGCCGACTCAAGAGGGCCCTGTTTTCCCGCTGCTCTATTTAGGCGTGAAGTGAAAAAAGCAGGCGCGCGCGGCTGTCGTCCATGACACAATGCACTGCTTGCCATTAAATGTCGTGTGGACGTGGATGAACACACTGTTACAATACGTGTATATATATATATGTACGCTCAGAACGGATGGCTTGCCGTCGACGAGAAACGCTACTAATCCCCGTGGTTGAAGAACCCGCCTTGTTGCAGCAAACGCCGCAAACAAAAACTCATTGAAGACCACCAGTTGTTGCGGATAACGCCATTGCCCCCCCTGTGCTTCTGATATCCTGCACCCCCGAAAAAATAGAATATCTAGGCCGTTGGATCTAGAACACCGTAAGAGAATACAGGTCAGGAGGTTGATGAGGAACTTAGCAACGGTGTCTGGCACACTCAGCGGTCTTTGTCGCTCAGCAGAGTTGTGATATCGCTGTGACACGTACTATCACTGTAACTCACCATGCAGGCTTGAGCCAGGATAGTCACGCATGATATATGTGTTTACAAGTGGACTCTATGCGAAGCGACAGCAAACAGAAACACACACCAAAAGCTGCCCTCCCCCCAAAAAATGGAGAAAAGGGGCTAGCTGGGGGAAGTGCTGTTGAGGGTTGCCTGTTCTGGTTTTTATGTTCATCTCAAATTTGTGTTCCCCCTTATTTGTTTTTAAAAGAGGCTTTTTGGGGAGCTTATTTATCGTTTTCGTTAAGGTAATCATTTGGGTAAATTCTTGCCTTGTTCATTGTTGGGCTGGGGGCTGACATTTTTTTCATTTGAAAGAGGTAGCCCTTTTAGCAGTTATAATGTTCTGGGGTGTTGGTGGGTCGATTGTTTTCTTTGACGTTTATCTCTACAAGTATTTATGTTCGTTCTACACTCTTGGCAATATTTATATCTTCTTCCACTTTTTACATTTCCAAATTCATCAATTGTTTTATCATAAAGGCATCTGTTACATTTGAAGAATTCACCATAGTCTTCTGTCATTCCATAATTAGTCATTATAGTTTGCCTCACAACCATTCTTAATATATCTTAACAACTTCTTTTTATGTGATTTCTATGTGATTGTCTAGCTATTTTTTATAGGTTAAAAGTTCGCTATAATTATAACATATAAGAATATAAATGCTATAATTACGGTTTAATTTTGAATAATAAAGGTTCATCAACAATTAGTTTAAACTTTATGCTTTTTACTCCTTGATTATAAAACAATGTTGTAATCATATTATAGTTATAGAATAATACGAATAAACCTATTTTCAGTGTTTCCACTCTCCTATTCCATCCCATCCACTGCTGACGAGGTCTTTGAAATTGTAGTGTGTCAGAATTCTAACATCGTCTTTGGTTGCGGTTTTCTTGTAGAAGTGATTTAACACGGTGAGAAGTGCACAATAATTCATCTGCATAGTTTGCATGTCTCCTCTCTTGTTTATGACTTGACCATTTCTTTTAATAGTTGCTGTGTCAAATAGGTTTTCGTATATTTCTTTCATACACTCATGATTTGGTTGCCCATATTCGGAGTTTACCATGATACCCTTTCCGTTTGGTTCGTTCATGACTATCTCGCACACTTGTTCAAATGAAGGGTAGGGGTCCTTGATGAACTTTAACAATTTCTTCCTGTCTCTTTCCAATTCTTTTTCTGACACTCCTAACATTGGCATATTTTCTCTTATCATATTAAGTTGGGTTTTCTTTAAGTATTTTTCATAATTATACTAAATATTTATTACTCTTGTTCACTTAACAATCTTTCTATGGTACGCTTTACCTTAAACTCTTTGTTTCTAAAAATAAAAGCGCGGTCATTGCCACTCATGAACCAATCCACCATCCACCAGCACCTTAACTCTTGCTTTTGCTTCATGTCAGCAAACCAGTGGAAGTGTTCTAAGATGTGGTGTGTGTGTGTGTTTCCAGTATCTCTTTGCAAAAGACTTAACAACCGAAATAAACATTAATTTTTTCTTAAACTCTTGTTTGAATTCTTCATTGTCTAACACTTGGTCAAGTTCTCTCTTGAACACACGAAGGTTTGTTTTATTTGTTTTTGATAAGAAAATAGGCGGGTTCATACACTCTTTGAAGAAAAGTATTTGTTGCTTTGGTCGTGTTAGTATTTTTGCTACAATGTTGTTCTTCTTTAAAAACTCCGCTTCCTTCCGGTGTAGGTCTAAACACTTTGAACAGTAGAGGTTGTAATCACATATCATTTCACAAATCCCAGCGGGAAACATGTTGTTTAATAAAACCTTAACTCTTGTCATTTCTTTCTTACAACATCTACAGTTTTTATATTCAAATAGCATCCTCTCAATATATATATATATACTCATTTCTCTTGAAGTAGTTTGTATTTTATGTTAAGGGGCGGGGTTTATGTTGATAAAATTATTCTCTAACAATTTAATATAATGGCGAGATTAACGAAAGACCAAATAATCAGCAACATCTATTACGACTTAGACGAGGGTTTCGGAAGCACACAAGAGACACACAAGAAGGCAAAGGAAGAAGACCCAACCATAACATTAGACGATGTAAAGTCTTTCTTAAAGAAACAACCAAACAAACAAATCAAAAATTATAGAGCCACTAATTCCTATACCGCTCCATTCGCACGATTTGAATATCAAATACACATAATGCATATGTCACCTTTTGCCAAAAAGAAGAACGTTCCACAGTATACTTTAGTCGTGATTGACATCTTCAGCAAATTAGCCGATGTAATACCGATGGATGAAAGAGACGGAACGCACGTTTTGAAGGCGTTGAGAGCAAGTTTTAAAATGATGGGTTATCCTATGTCCGTGTATTCTGATGACGATGGCGCATTTGCAACTAAAAATCAAGTTCAGGATTTCTTCAACAGTGAAGGAATAAACCACATCGTCACGAAGACACACGCAAATGTAGTCGAGCGTTTTATTAGGACGATAAAAAACAAAATCCGCGATCGAGTTAGGCTTAACAATATGAAATGGACGGACGCCTTAACACCCGCTTTGAAACAGTATAACAGCACATTACACTCATCAACAAAGATGACACCATCTGAAGCGCACAAGGACGACAATGAAATACATGTAAAGGTCAGTCTGAAACTACGAGAAAAGAACAAAAGAAAGTATCCCAGAATAGAGGAGAACGACAAGGTAAAAGTGTTCCAAAGGAAAGCGGGTAATTACACCGACAGAAAGGAGTATAACTCTAAATGGTCTAATAAAATATTCAAAGCTGATAAAATTGAATATGATATTATGGGTAATAAAACTCACAAAGTAGCAGGAATAAACAAACCGCTTTTGAGACACGAAATTTTGTTAGTTAATGATTAAACATATTTCTTGGTTTCTTCGTTATACTTGACTTGATAGTAATCCAGACTTGATTGTTAGGTTCTTTTATGACTTTTTCATGAAGTTTTTTAGCACAAATGTTTCGATTATTTGTGTATTCGCTACTGTCTCTATCAACTTCTTTTGGTATATAATTATTAGTATTATTGTAAGCTGGTTTCTTCATACTTTCTAAGAGTTGATAAATTTGTTTATTTTGTTCCATTATCTCATCAATTTTCAAAATTAGTTTATCCACACTTTCCATATATACTACATTATAAAACTAAACTTTAAAACTAAATGTTTCAATTATGTTAACTCTACTCTTTAAATACTAATTTTTCATCATTTCACGTTTAGTTTCCTGTGTTTCGTTATCACCCTTATCGGATGGTGATGCATGCCTTCCCCATTTGATAGCAATATTATGAACATCTGTTTCTAAGTTGATACTGTCTTTAGTTTTATCAATATTCATTTTCTTATCATTTTTACTTATTTTGAAACTTGTTGGAATACACGAGCATTTACAATTTCCTTTCTTTTGTATTTCTAATTCATTCTTCATCTCTAACATCTTCTTACACATAGGACAAGCAAAGTCAATAACTGATGTTTCTTTAACAGTTTCTTCTTTTTCTTCATCGGTTGAAGAAACAACTGGTTCTGTCTTATTCTTCTTCTTTCTTCACATTTATATTAATATTTACATTTTTATTTTTGATATATTGTATTACAAACTTAACTAATTCTAATGAATAACAACAACATTTTTTAGTTTTATTATCAGTTATAACACCTTGTTCTATATTCTCTACTTCATCTATTATATTAAAATAATCTGAATAACTCCTACTCATATAAAGTAATGAGATAAATTATTTGTTCATTTCTGTCTTTCTTTTCTTATTAGGTTTTTTTCATTGTATCGTCTTTATTCCATCTATATTCTACAAATTTCTGATGATGTTTTGAATTTAGATGTTTAAATAAATATTTGTCATCATAAGTTTTACCACAACTGCAATGGATAATAGTCATATAAATAATAAGACAAATTATTATAATTAATCTTATTATTTTCTTGCATGATAGAATATTCGGGGCTCAGCACATGGGGTTTTCTTCACTGCACACGCAAGCGAGGTTCAATCTAATTCAAGCTAATTAGTCTCAATGCTTATGATTGAAACAATGGAAAGCCTGTTCCATTTTTCATTGATATTCGCCACCATCATATCATGAAAAACGATTTTCCATCCAATAATAAAAATAAAAAATTATTTTATAAGTGTTTATAATATTATTTTTATTATGCCTGATGTAAAACCAATTCGTAAAATCAAATATGACTTTAAACAAAGTAAGCACGAGGTCGTCCCTCAATTGCCGATGAGAGCGATGATTGTAGGTCCGTCTGGTTCTGGAAAACCAACTTTACTTGTATCAATGATACTTGATATTTATAGACGAGCATTTGAACGGATTTTTATCTGGTCACCGTCAGTGAATTTGGATAGTGTTTGCTTGCCAGTGAAGAAATACATTAAAGAAGGATTGAAAGTAGATACTGATAAAG